TCTCTCTCTCTCTCTCTCTCTCTCTCTCCCCTCAAGAGGGCAAACAGCAAACTAGAAGAGTATATTAAGTCTTGAGGAAAAAGAGTAATAGTGATGTTCAGAGGTAGTAATTCTTCAAAAATGAATGAAGTCCGGCTTTGTATTTATATATATAGATAGGTAGTGAATACATTAAGAAAAGCAAGAATTTATATTTAGAGACTAAGACTGAAATAACAAAAGCAAAAAAAAAAAAAAAAGACAAGAAAAAGAATCTAAATACTAAATGATACCACAATATCTCTGATCATTTTTTCTACTGATTTCAAGGTTACCATAAATCATATTTAAAGAAGTAAATATCCACTAAGGAAAGCCTAATGATATTGTCAAGTGGATACTAAACACCTTAGTTCTTGGGATTAAAAATTAGAACACTATGACTTTAGATAAATTTTCACTGTAAAAAAAAAAAACAGAATTAAACATTATTAAACTTTAGAAATGTGTTAACTGTGAACACAGGACAATAGTTTCAGAGATGATAAATATCCCCAAATCTAAGTGCTTCTTTCTACAAATGAAAGTTACAAGTACTATTTTTTATTGTATTTTATTGTACTGTATTGTATCATATTGTATTGTTATTACATTACATTATACTGTATTACATTGTATATGTATTTGGTATAAGGTAACTAATAATTTAAATTATAATTAAAATAGACTGTTTATTGGAAGCTCTACAATATACTGTGGCAAGAATAGCTCACTGAGAATATAAATTGCTTATTTATACAACATTAAAAAGGTATTATAAAATATAGGCAACTAAGATAAGCTGCCATCTTCAAAAATGCAAAAACAAAATTGAAACAACAAAGAAAACATAACTGAAGTTAAACAGAGAAAAGACAAAGTTTTAAAAAGGGAGATATTTAAAGATAGTATTATTAGCTTATAAAGCACTATCCCAATGAGAGAATCTTAATCTGGTATCAAGAATACATTGATCAAAAAAATATTTTATAATTAGAGTATAATAATATATCCAGTGGCAAATTAGCCTAAATAATTTTATATTTGGATGTTCAATTTCAATGACCTGTACTATAGTCTTAATTGTTTCTATACAAAATTTTTATGTTAAAGTCCTAACTCCCTAGTATGTTAGAATGTGACTGCATTTAAAGATAAGATCCTTAAAGAAGAAATTACAGTTAAATTGAGTCATACAGATGGGTCCTAATTCAATATTACATGTTCTTATAGAAGAGGTTATTAGGGCACGGTCAACACAGACAGAAAGATGACAATGTGAGGACAAAGCAAAAAGGCAGCCATCTGCAAGTAAAGAAGAGAGATTTCAGGAGAAACCAAACTGCCTATACTTTGATTGGGTAGTTCTAGCTTCCAGAACTATAAGAAATGAATTTTTCCTGGTTAAATCACCCAGTCTGTATCTCAGAAAATTAATATAACCAACAATATTTAGAAAGCAATGAAGGTCAGAACAAAGGAAGAAAGGAAATAAATGGGTGCCCAGAGTATGACTGTCATCTTTTTCTGTTGTTATGCCAAGTAAGAACATCTTTTTCATTATAAGCTTTTACGGTTTGTATAGCATTTCTCCCTTTTATTTGAAACCACCCTACCTAATCCACCTAGATATAGAAAAGGTTACCTGGTTCTTACAAGAGCCAAATCCCCTGTGTGAATGGAATTTATTTGTGGATGGTCCAAGATGGGCATCTTAATCAAATTTGCTCATCAGAGCCCTTCATAGAAATGAGGAAAAGTTTTGCATGTTTGTTTGTTTGTTTGTTTTTGTAGGGGGCTAGCTACTGTAACATTCAAAATGCTGTTATCATAGGGACTTGGATTTCATTATATGGTTACGATCATTCTAAGTCTTCTTGAAAAATTAAAAATGTCATAGTAGGTCATCTGGTTCCTGGTTCTAAGATTTCCTGAGGTCCAGAGGAATACGTGATCTTTTCAGGATTGGATTGTTCAACCCTCTTTTGAATTGTGACAGTTAATAAATCCACTCATAGTTTGAAAAATAGTTAATATATTTTTTTTTAACAAAGAATTAAAATACTAAAAACCTTGTCACTGTTCTTCCAAGATTTAATTTAAGAACATGATAACACAAAGCGAACAAATTAACTTTGGGAAACTCACTACATTGCTCTAATTTTATTCTCATTTTGCAAGTGACTCTCTTGACATTTGGACTAGCAGGGGTCCATTTTCTACTGATCTAAACCAACTCTTCTTAAATTCTACTCATTCTAAATTGTCTTGCTGTGATATCTTGCTTACCAAGCAACTCGATAGGCTAGTGGAAAGTATTTGAAGTTGGTGAAACATCAAAATAAAAGGAAAGTACACACAGCAACATGTTATGTATGAAGAAAAATCAATGTGGACTCATAAACCTGAAAGGACATATCTTTTTCAGATCTCTCCTTAAAAAAGACCAACAGCAGCAATATTTTTGCCCTACCTCCTCAGCCAGTCCTTATGTACAATCCAGATAATTGTTGCCCAATATCCACCAACAAAAAAGAATCAGGGCTCCTCAGTTTTAGGGAAAGAAAACAAGAAAGAAAGAAAAAAACACAGAAAGAAAGAACACAGAACATCTTTTTGTTGCCAGAAAACAAGGTTTATCTAAAATAGTCAAAGGCAGTTTTGAAAGTAAGCAAAGTAATCATAAATAGCTTCTCCCTGGCTAATTTCTCACATTATAAACATCAACAAACACAAATCACTATAACTAAATGGAACAGTTTGAATCTATTGAAGGCTTAGAGTTTATAATACTCAAACAGAAAAGTTAATACGAAGGATATAAAGAGGTACTAATGATATCTACACAAAAATCACAAACGGGGTAGAATATATTATATCTCTATTGTTTTTAATAAATAGTTAATATATGGTTTTTTTGTAATTATATGTACATTTATAATATGAAAACACATATTTTTTTTCACCTGTGTAAGGGAAGACTTGTAAGTAAAATGGTATCATATACTGCGGTTCTGAATCAGAAAAAGAAAGGACTGATCAACTCTGATAGTCACACATAATAACCAAGTGGAAAAGGAGTTGAGCATTTAATTAACACTAATGATCATACCCAATATCTAAGAGGGCACAACTGTGTTTCAGACATTTGATAAATTAGTGGAATATCTAGAAGTGGTAACTAAGCAGAAATAGTCTCTCATCTCCTGGTAGTTAAAAACCTAATAGCTCTACATAATAAAAAAAATAATAATGAAAGTCTATGAATTTTTAATAATGTTAATATACCAGGCATATATATCATACTCATAGAAAAATTGGTGTGTAATGCAAGCAATTGGAACTTAAAACACAAATAATTTTTTAAGGGGACATCGATATTACACCAAACTAAAAGTTAGGCTTGAACTTTGAAAAAAAGGCATAAGGGCATACAACAAGTAAAGTTTAATTGAAAAAGTAAAGTCCATCCTGATGGTCAGTATCTTGAGTTTAAATCATTTTTGAATGTACAGAAAATTCTAATGACTAGATAAAAAATTATCTAGTCAACAACCCAGAACATGCATATTTAAGAGACAACTTCTGTTTTAAGTCTAGTATGGCTACTAAATCCTAGGGAAGTGCAAAAAGAGATGACATATTTCTGAAATCCCAGGGAAATATGAAAATTTCTACATTGGCAAAGTGCAAGAAGGAAAAAGAAATGGAAGTTCTTAGTATGAGCATATTTGTAACCAGTTTTAAGGAAAGCATATTGATTTCCTTTGGCGTCCTTGTAATATATATAATTTTCTTCTCTAAAAGTGGCTAAAGCATTTAAGATAAATTAATATTTTAGACTTGGTATTTTAATAAAACATTAGGAAGAATTCAATTATATAAAATTTCAACCAATGGTTAAATGCGATGGAAAAATTAATACATACTCTAATTTCTTGATATGTAAGATTTATGTGACAATTTAAGAACTATTGATTATTTAATTGCAAGAAAATACTAATTATTTACTAAGTTCATAAAATTAACAAATTGAATATTAAATTAAACATAATTATTACCAAGTATTCTCTAAGCACACATTTAAAAATCTGTCAACAATACTGATTACTCATGTAATCTCCTAAATGACTTCAAGCTATTGAGAGTAAACTAAATAATTAATGAAGTAATTAAAAAATTAATTTTCTAAACTCTAGGGATATAA